CGCAGTCTCTCTCTCTCAAATTCGTAAGTGTGATTTTGCTCCGTTCTTTGAGTTTGTTGGTATACTGCAGTTTGTATTGCCACTGTTGCAGGAAGGTTTATTCTGTTTTATCCTGGGAGGATTTAATTCATTACCTTGGCAACGTGTGAGGGGGTTAAAATTCCTTAAGGACGCACAAGAAAATTGTGGGCTCGGAATATTTCTTATTGTTTACTGTTTTTTGTTCCACTTTTTCCTTCTAACAGTTTTTATTTTTATTTTCTTCCTAATTTTGTGTTTCCACACAGAATCGAGTTACACACAGTTCCTATTCCTCTCACTAGCTAGTTTCCAAACAAAAGCTAAGCTTTAATTCAGCTTTATATACATTTTCTCAGACACAAGGAGTAAAGATCTGGCCTCCACAAATATTTTCCCTTGTCCACTATATAGTCATTTCAATGTCCTTTTCCATGTGACTGGTGAATTGAGTAAAATACAGATGGATTACTGTCATTTGCTTGAAGACAAATATTGGGTCCTTTACTATCAATTAATGTAAGGGGGTTGGGGAAAAGTAGAACAAAATGGGGACCATAGATATAATTCGACAAATCTCAGTAAAATGTTCTGGTTCTGAAACCACCTGGACTAACTACATGTGCAAGTTTGGATGGTGACAAGCCAATGCAAAGTACTACTCCAACTTGACACCACTTTCACTACCCTAAAGTGAATAAAACTTCAAAATTTTACTTTAGTCTTTTTGGAAATTCAAAGATTTAACTTCCAATGCTAGATTCAGCATATCTATCTAACAATAAAAGAATTTTGGCAGGGAATATTATATTTTAGTGGATTTGCCTCTCGTGAATCTAAATTAGTAAGGTCATTGGCTTTGAAAATGGAATGGTTAAATCGGAAAAATATTTATCAACATTGGCAAGGAAAATTTATTTTAGGAGTGTAAATATTAAATTAAATTTATAGTTTATAAAGTTTGCTACCTTTTCAGATTTAGTTCTTTTCAGATACTTTACCACCGTAGCTTTCATATATGTAAGAGTAATATGTTGGATATTTGTAAGTTCATATAGAAATTTGAAGAAAATGGTATATTTAAATTAATCTTGCAATATATCAGTAAATATCATGACCATGAGGTTCATCCAACTTGCTTATTCTATAAAACGCCATATCTAATTCCCCTTCTAGGCAATAAACAACCAACCAAAGCTGTAGTCTTAACTCTGTTAATTATTAGAAGTCTATTGAGAGAAAACAAGAGAGACATCATTTGCAGTGTTTATTATTTTAATTTAAGGGCGTTTTTCTGTTTCGCCTACATATATTAGTTAAATTGATTTGTCCCAAAAAAGTTATACTACTTGTGATGCTTTGAAAGAACAAAAACTTGTCCAGCTCCCAAATTGTTCTCAATAAATAAAGGTGGAACGGATTCCCTATAAAATGGCTATTGAATGCGTACGTTATTATATTTATTATGTAGGGTGTGTTTGGTATAATGGAAAATATTTTTCGTGAATTTTTTTTTTTAAAAAAAATAAATAGTAATTTTACTTATTTTTCGGTATTTGGTACTCAATAAGGAAAATAACTTTTCAATAGTATTCATAAATAATTTAGATATAATAAATATAAAACCATAAACTTTCGAACCAACAACCTTCCGAGCCTACAAATTTCACAAATTCTGAACCGCTAAACTTTCGAATTCGTGAACTCTATAATTTCTAAACCCGTAAAAACACATAAATCTCCGAACTCGTAACTTTGGAACTCGTAAATTTCGAACCTGTAAGCTGAAAAAAATGAAAAAACCAGAACTAAAAATATTTTTTTTAAAACAAAATTTGAGGGGGGGGNTGGAGGGGTTGGGGTTAGATGTGAGGGTAGGTGGAGTTTTTGAAAAATATTTTCCTAATATTTTTTAGGGAAATCATTTTTCTCCAATTTCAGAAAAATATGATATCTAGAAATATATTTTTCAAACTATTTTGTGCAACCAAACAGGTCTACCGTACCAAACACACCCGTAATGTCGTTCATTTTGATATTAGTTCTTGTAGCACCTTAAAGTACGTTTTACCTATCAGGACTAGTATTTGCCAATAAGTTCATGATAAGATGTTGATGATATATAGTTTAATAGAGATTTGAATGGAGATTTTGTAAAATTTTCTTGCATGATAACATTAAAATAATCAATTCAAACGTGTTAAAAAGTGGTTGGTTAGGAAGAGATTCAGCGTTGACCATTAAATGTTGACCTTATCTTCACAATGTTTCATGTTCTCTTGAATCCTGTATAGATACAGCTTGAATCCGCTGAAATTGATTGTCGGGACAGCTTGAAAAATTACGAAAGTTTCCATTTTCTGAAATTGTTTCCAACTAGTCGTCGTGTTAATCAAACACGAGAATTTCTAAGAGAGATGGATAAGTTTACTTGGTCTGGTGCAAATATGAATAAGTTTTTCACGTAAGGGAATTAGTGAATTAAAACTTTAGGGAAAAAATGTACAGTACTTATTAATTACTTGCACAAAATTATTTGTGGACGGTTTAAATATCTTTAAATATTTCATGCTCCAATAGTTCTTGTAAAGAATACAATTCTTCACAGTTCCTCTTAATAAGATTTTTGTAGTTCAAAGCCTAACCAAAAGTAGAGTTATCCCCGCTTCAATTTGTGTCAATTTATTTGGTAGAGTCCCTCAGAAATGTATATTCAAACACAAATGATTACTAGTACAAGTTGATATAAGTAAAATTCTTGTCCACAGTCCAAACATCTTAATCAGACTTAATCATCATCTACAATATTTTATTACTACCATAAAAGGTATCTTGTCTCTGGAATTTTCTTCAGTATTTCTCTACGGGAAAGGCATCCATTCTTTTTTGGGGAAAGAAAAATTCAAATGTATTTTAATAGCGATATCTCCCGCAGAAAATGGTTGAGTCATACATATTACACACAAAAAAAAAAACCACTTTCACGTTATATAAAATAATTGACTTATGAAAATTGTTGTTTTTAATTATTTGTATTACATACAGAAAGGGAGGGAGGATGAGAAAAAGATATCAAGAAATGAATTCACACATCATATGAAACTCTCGCATAAAAAATCTAGAACATTTTATTAAATTTGTTTTTTTTTTTAAATTTGTCTTGAGACTTTTCACCAATAATATACTTTTATTGATAACTATCTAGCGAAAACTATTTGATTTTCTCCCAAGATCATAGAACCTCTGATGTTACAACATTGTATTAGTTTTCCAACACTTAATTTTGAAGCGTAATTTACAATGTAAAGATTTGTAAACTACTGCATATCATTAATGTAAAGATAAAATAGTACATAATATACAGATTTTTCAGCGCAAGTATTCTCGTGAGTAAATTCTGAAGCTCGTAACAGAAGAAGCTTATCAAGCATACAAATTTTCATTTCCCATTACCACAACCTGTGCAAAAAAGAAGGGGGGGAAAACAGCATAACGATCAAAATGGACTACTAGTTAGTACATATATTTTCTCTCCCCATACACATTCTTCCCAGTGATATCTCCCTTTTAATATTACGTTGAGGATCGGATAAAGAACCTTATCATGAGACCTCTTTAAAAAAAAAAAAAAAAAAAAAAAAAAAAAAAAAAAAAAAAAAAAAAAAAAAAAAAAAAAAAAAAAAAAAAAAAACCAAATGCACTAAGCTCCCGCTATGCGCGAGGTTCGGGGAAGGGCCGGACCATAAGGTCTATTGTACGCAGTCTTACCTTGTATTTCTGTAAGAGGCTGTTCCCACAACTTAAACTCGTGACCTCCCAATCACATGTGAACAACTTTATCCGTTAAGCTAATGCTCCTTCAAATAGGAAACTAGAAAAACAAGCTGAGTAATCACAACTGCAAATAACGTTACATATAAAAGTTCTAAAATAGGACATTAACCATTAAACTTTCCACATACCATTTACCTTACGAACAAAACAAACTCCGAATTAATGAAACCTGTTGTTCCATATTCAGCACAGACTCAGATAAGGAAATTAAATCAGGACAAAAGAGAAGCAAGAAGAACATTTCCGTTTCACTGGCTTAATTTTATAAAGTAATCCATCCAACACTGTAAAATAGCATCTTCAAGAAAACTAAAAGATTCACCAGCAGAAAATAGGCCGAATATTCATTGAATTTCATTATCTTTTTTTTTGGTCTTCCTTTTTTAATTTGTTTTTACATTTTATTTACCATTGTTTCCATGTTGTCACTCCGTTGAGAGGGACTTCTCCAAAACCCAGCACCATAAAACTTGTTCCACATTTCCTTCTCCAGCGCCACCACATCCTTATCGGATTCCAGGCTGTTTCCGCCATCACCCACCGCGAGCGGGGTGGTGCCGATGGGGTGTATTGAAAGCTCCGCGTCTTCAGAGCGGACCAAAAGCCCTTTCTTCATCAGCCGACGTCGGCGTTTCTTCCTCAGTGCCTTCCGGCAAAGTCCCGCCGGCAACTTATACACAGCTAGCACGAGGAGATTCACCAGCCCGCAAGGGCAGCAGCAACAAACCGCTGCACATTCAGCCGTCGTTCCGCCGGCGACCTCCGCGAACCGCGCCGCCTTCCGAACCCCACCTCGTGACGATGAATCTTGGCCTGATAACAGTGGCTGCCGCCGCCTGTCCACCGAAAGTGATGAAGGTGCACGGAGGACTATCTGTTTTGTCATAATCCGAAAAATAAGATTTTTCTCCCCAAAACTATTCAAAAATCAAAGAATCCCACCAGAGATTTTGGTGGGTGGTGGAGGAAATGGCAGTCGTCGGCCTTGGTGAGAGGAGAGAGGCATCAGAGATTTTGGTGGGGTTGGGGTTGGCGGTGGGGTGGGAGGGGAAATATAAGCTGTGGAAATAATGGTAACCTCTCCGAAATTGAAGGCAGAAGTTTTAAAACTACCTGAGTAGGCAAAATATAAATATGAGAATTAATGAAGTTTTAGTTAGTTAAATGTATGTGAGCATAAGCTTCTCCTTCTCCTACTCTTTTGCTTCTTCTTCTAATATCTTTCTTCCAAGAATATACTAATCTGGTTTAGAGCAAAGGTTGAAGTTTAATTGATTGTGATGTGACGATAATATGTGGAGGAGAGAAAAATAAGGGGTTTTTGGTGGAGCACGGTATTGGTATTGAAGGGTAGGAAGACGGGGGTGTGGTCTGAAATTTATAAAGATGATGTGGTGAATGAATGAGGTGCAAGGACATGGATGGATGAAGTATTTTTTTATTACAAATTTTTTTAGAGAATGATAAATAATAGACTTGTCTTTTATGTAGTTATTTTTTTGAATTTATTTCAAAAAAAAACGGACACATTTCAATAATATTTTTTAAATTTCATACTCAGTCAAACAAGTTTACATAAATTAAAACGAATGGAGTAATAGTTTTTGTTGGATTGCATTCTCAGAGCCCGTTTTGAAATAAGATTTTTTTTTTCAATTTGTTTTTTTTTTGAAATAAGTATTTGGTTATCAAAATCTTACAATTTTTCCAATCTCACTTGAAAATGAGAAGGTTGCTAGTTTTTTGTTGTAAAATATGTTTTAAAAAAGATATATAAATATGTTGCAAAAACTATAAGCAAACACAACTTTATCTTCAATTCAAATTTTAGTGAAATTTCAAATTTGAAAAAATAATAATTTGGAATTCATGTCCAAACGCCTGCTAAAATATGGTGAGATGCTTGGGATCCCTCCATCTTTCGAGGAACATTTTTGATTTGTATAATAAATACGAAAAGCTTCTCGACAGAAATTATTTTACTATTCATAATGGGTTTACCTGAATAAAAAATAGTTGGTCCAATACATTAAGAATAGAGGGTTAAAATAGCTATAAAAAAAATGGAGTATTGTTGGAAAGGGTGGGGAGGGTCGACGGTATGTCGGGTTGGGGGACAAGAATACATGAGGGAGTCAAGGTGTTCTTAGAGGAAGACAAGACACTTGGAGATGATAAAATAGAGGATGTACGAGGAAGAGGATGAACTAATTTAGGATTACGGCTAGTCTAACAATGGCTATTTGTTTTCTGGTCCCTCCAACTTGTTTTTAGGGTTACACATGAATTACAAAGAAGAATTGAAAAAACTATAAAATAAAAAAATTAAAAATAAACAATCTTTAACCAATCTAAATTGTCTTATTTCCGTGTGAACGATACTGAATTAATTGATTGGTTAAAGATATTCCAAATTTTTAACCAAGCAAAGACATGTATCTTTCTTTACTTATTTTGGAAATGTGAAATCAGCGAGTGGATAACTTATGCTGAGACTGTTTGCAAATCAAATGAAAATATTTCGGTTTGAGTTAAGGAGAAAGTTATCAAGTAGTTTTTTTTAATCATCTTTTAACAGTTGTTCTAACCGGGTGGTTCAAGTCAGGGTGAGGATTAATGTGTCCATTTCTGATGACCAGTTCGGTTTCATGTCGGGGCGTTCGACTATGGAAGCTATTCATATTGTGAAGAGATTGGTGGAGCGGTATAGGGAGATGAGGAAGGACTTGTGCATGGTATTTATTGACCTAAAGAAAGCATATGACAAAGTCCCGAGAGAGGTGCTCTGGCGATGCTTGGAGGCTAAAGGGGTCCTAGTAACCTACATTAGGGTGATTAAGGACATGTATAATAAAGCTAAGACTCGGGACAGGGCAGCGGGAGGAGGCTGATGACATAGTTTTAATTGAAGAGATGCGAGGATGGTGTTAACGAGAAGCTGGAGGTTTGGAGGCAGACCCTAGAGTCTAAGGGTTTCAAGTTGAGCAAGACCAAGACGGAATACTTGGAGTGCAAGTTTAGCAACGGTACCCAGGAAGGGGATATGGAGGTGAGGCTTGATACGCAAGTCATACCCAAGAGAGGTAGTTTCAAGTATTTTGGATCTATAATACAAGGTAACGAGGAGATTGATGAAGATGTCACGCATCATATCGGAGCAGGATGGATGAAGTGGAGGCTCGCTTCCGGTGTCATGTGTGATAAAAATGTGCCGCTGAGACTTAAAGGTAAGTTCTACATGGTTGTAGTTAGACCGACTATGTTGTAAGGAGCAGAGTATTGACCGGTCAAGAACTCTCATACCCAGAAGCTAAAAATAGTTGAGATGAGGATGTTGATGTTGATGTGTGGGCATACCTGGTATAAGATTAGGAATGAAGTTATTCGAGAAAGGTGAGAGTGACCCCTGTAGAGGATAAGATGCGGGAGGCGAGGTTGAGATGGTTCGGCGCATGTTAAGAGAAGAAGTATAGAAGCACCAGTTAAAAGGTGCAAACGGTTAGCTCGGTGGATAGCAGGAGGGATAGAGGTAGACCTAAGAAGTCTTGAGGAGGGGTTATTAGGCGGGACATGGCACAGCTGGAGCTAACTGAGGACATGGCCCTAGACAGGAAGATGTGGAGGTCAAAGATTAGGGTAGAAGGTTAGTAGGTAGCCGAGCGTTTCTCGTTGTCTTACTCAATTTGCTAGCATTAGTGTTACTGTGATATCTTTTATCCATATATGGCTATCACTGCCTAGAGTTTGACTGCATTATTGGATTCAATCTTATTTTATTTTGCTGTTATTCCTACTTGTTAAAATTACCTTTTATTTTTCAGTCGTCCTCTAGCCGAGGGTCTATCGGAAACAACCTCTCTTCCTTTCTAGGGTTAGGGGTATGGCTGTGTACATCATACCTTCCCCAGACCCCCACTTGTGAAAAACTACTGAGTTTGTTGTTGTTGTTGTTGCTGCTTTAAAATAATGGATAATAATTGAACTTTCATGTACCTTAGGAATTTATAGTTGCTTACTTAAGGTCGAATGTTCATTCTTGAAAAAATCATTCTCGAGCGAATTCGAACCAATTTGCTTTTGTTCTTGAGCATCCTTTATACATCCCTTCATCTTCATCAATATATACAAAGCTCTTTTAGAAATTTTCTACGATATCTGATGAGTGAAAAATTAGGGTTGTGTTATATTAAGGCGGTGAGGATGTGATGGAGAATAACTCGGTATACTATAGTTGTTCTCCATAGCGTATTATTAAGTTGCCACTCATATTCGAGTACCACATGTTGGTATATCTGATTTGTAATAGGGTGAGTGTGAATAAACGCTCGGTTAATCTTAAGGTAGCCGAAAGATATCTGTATTCGCTTACTCCCCAAGGAGTGGCTTATTATGCAAGTTTAACATCGATGACGATGAAAATCAACATGATTTTTTGAGGACTCCAGATGAACACATGGATGTTCTTGTGTTAAGCATGCTGGAAATGTTTGTAAAGTCCGAAGACGTCAATAGGACTGATGTTCCACAAAATAAGGCTAACACTCAACCATCTAGTGGTGTTTTCAAAGTTGTTTTATCCAAACAAGTTTCTTAAGAAAGAGTCTGGCATGATCTAAACTTATCTCCCCGGTTTAACAAGAAGCAAGGATACAATTTCTCACCAATGCAGCAACAAGGAGGGTCGCCAAATTTACAGAATTCAAAGGCCGAGTGGTAAATTGCAACTTATATTAATGTAGTATAACTATTTGTTTTAAGTAAAATAATAGTAATAACTCTCTTCCCTTCTAGGAGTAGGGGTAAGGCTGCGTACATCTTACCTTCCCCAGACCTCACTTGTGAAAAACTACTGAGTTTGTTGTTGTTGTTGTTGCTACGTTAAAATAATGAACAATCATTGAACTTTCATGTACCTAAGGAATTTATAGTTGCTTACTAAAGGTCGAACTTTCATGTATCTCGACCGCAGGTGCGAGATCAGTGGTCGCAGGTGTGGGCTTTATGCGCAAATGTGGTCCCTTGAGCCCGCAGATGAGGAGCTTGGCCAGTAGGGGAAAATACACACCTACGATGGCTTTTCCGCAGGTGCAGGACCGCAGGTGCGAAATCGCTGGAGGTAGTAAGGTTCATTTAATATGGTACTTAAGCCATTTTTACACATTTTTTTCACTCTTTGGGCGATTTTTGGAGCTTCTTGAGAGGGGTTTTCACCTAGCTTTTGAAGGTAAGTAATTTCTAGCTAATGTGAGTTTAATACATGGTTTATGGGTAGATTATAACATATAAATTAGTAAAAATCATGGGTTTAGATGAAAATCTAGATTTTTGATAAAAATGAGATTTTACCATGGAAATGATTATGGAACTTGGTGAAAGTCATCTATTTATGTTTCTAAGGTTATGGGCAACAACTTTCTTCGAAAATTTCTAGAATCCGAGCACGTGGGCCTGGGGGTGAATTTTAGGAACCTTATATTTAGGGTTGGGTAATCACTTAAATAGTTAAAATATGAAATTTTGAACGTATATTGATTAGTTTTTACACTATTTGGATAGTTTTGGATTGTTCGACACTGATTTAAGGGTTTGAGCATAATTTTGGACCGGAAAGTAGGCCTCGAGACGAGGTAAGTCTCTTTTCTAGCCTTGTAAGAGGGAATCTACCCCATAGGTGAAATTAATTAATATGTATTATTATTTGTGGGGGATACATATGAACGAAGTGACGGGAGTCCGTACGTAGCTGCTATTTTTGTTTATGTCCGGATAGTTTTAGGTTTACACCATGCTTTGTGGACACCGTTATTTGATTATATTTGTTAATTGTATCGAATGGAACTAAGTTGAGGATTTTTTAGAATTAAAAAGCTTCAAGTTTAATTTTTTTTTTTGAAAAGAATCAAGAAAGGGTATGATTTATTGATAAATCTATATTTAACTGTGTCACAAGTATATTCCGCGAGCGGGGTGACTCTTTCCACTAATCTTATGGGAACAGGTTGTTCGCCTTGGCAGGTTAATAGATGCATCTATGATTCGTGTCGTTTGACCCTCGGCAGTGCACATTTTATATTTATGTTCGATCGGGCCCTACGTCCTCGGCAGAATTTGTACGTGATAATAGAACTGGAAGTCCCTTTTTACATTTGGTATTAATTCACTTGAATTGTGAGGTTAGTGGTTTTAAATGAAGGAAGTGATGTGGTTCTTAAATATGGTAAAAGGATTGTTAAGTTATTTCTTATTATGTGTTATATTGTTATCTCTATATATCATATTTAATTAGAAGTTAATATTATCATATTGATGGACTTAGTAAGTGTCGGAGTCGACCCCTCATCACTACTTCTTTA